AGTGTATGTCTAGAAACGAATGTGAACTTGTATATATTCCAGCGAGCTAGCAATGCAGGCTGCTCTCGGTCTATAACTCACTTTGGTTATGGCTGTTCTAGCCAGCCAAGCTTCCTCACTGGTTGAGGAGAGGATTAATGATGCTAAGTAAGCATCCCTTTCGAGGGGGGATTCAGGCTCTGTGTGCAACTGATGTGAAACATTTGGCCTATGCCTTTCTTACCATTTTGTCGCTTGGTTTTGGCCCCATTCAATTGATTCACGTTGATTCTAAACTGTTGCCCATGGCATGACCATGATCTTTGCATTGCTTGTATTCATCGACAAATTGTGCTACTACATTAGTCTTCCAATAGTTGTATTCCTCTCTTGACTATACATGGATGTTGTTTCCATGCAATTTTTGACTCTATAATATATAACGCATTTTTTTGGTTGTTGTACCCTGACATTGGTGACCGGGGAATGAAGTTGAGGTGAATTTTTTGTGGTAGTGGACTGTCCTTTTTTTGTGGCAGTGCCAAACTACTCTTTTTCATAACAGTGGAGTGTTCGTTTTTATGAGAGTCGTAGGGATTGTTCATTTTTGTGATGGTCGCCCAATTATTCCTTTTTGCAATAATGGCCATGACTAAACAATGGCTTGGGACACCAAGCATACCCTAAATCAGATGCCCAACGCTCTCAGCTCCACGAGGGGGCATCCTTCATATCTGTGGTGATTTTTTTCCCATGTCCAAAAAGCGCCCCCAAGTGCGCAGGTTGAAGGTTGTGCCTGACTGGGCCTAGGTTAGGTAGAAAGTTGTGTTGTGCCTATTCACTATTCATTTTGTGTAGGGTACACACACACACACACACACACACACACACACACACACACACACACACACACACACACACACACACACACACACACACACACACACAATGGCGGTGGCACCAACGCTACCAGCAAGAAGGCTATGTTAGTCTCGATGCCAATGCTCACCACTTGATGGATGATGAAGGGGCCAGCAACCAACGCCATGACTCCCACTGTGTCCCCAAGCTTATGTCCCTAGCTGGAGATAGTAGGTATGTGCAACCCCACCTGTTATGGCCCCGTTGGCAATTGCTAGTTTCCAAAGGCGTTGGAGTCACCTTGCTCTATAGCGCAGCCATAGGAGGTTGGTTGGCCTCTCCACCTCAGACGGTGGGTGTATCCAGGGTAGTCGAACGTGTGGTCGCGCGGTGGACCCAATGCTTGATGGGCATCGATCCCCAGGGCCTGCTATCGGCAAGAGGTGGCGGCACAGCTGGGTGGTGGTTTGCTGGCTTACAGGAGGCTAGAGAGCGGGTCAAAGAGAGTTACATGAAGTCATTGCATGCCCGTGCACTTATTGCATGCACAATGCCCGATCATGGGTCTATCGCAGTCGTATCAAGACAAGACAACTCGAGTGCATGTCCAAGCACTATTTCAACATCCCCTGTTCACCCACGACCAACCCATTTCTCCGTTGACTTAAGGACTAGCCCCTATCCATATAAAGCCTCAAATCCTACAATTTCAAGGGCCATAACTTTGCCAATTCTTAATAGATTTGGGCGTTTCAATAGCCTAAGGGCATCAAGACCTCCTACATAAGCTCATCAATAAGTCGATTTGTAGAGATGACTAATCACCACTCCAAAAATATCAATTAAGCCTTATCCCAAGCAGCCATATCATATCACCCCTATAGCCCCGCACTTCCAAAGCTGCCCACCCAATCTTCCACCTCCCTTGGCTGGACCCCACCCTATTGGGCCATCCACATCTTTGGCATGTGGGTGCAATGGAGATCAACTACCTACAAAGACCCAAAAGCACGATCGCCAGGATTTGTATTATGGCCCCGTTGGTAGCCGCTAGTTTTTGGAGGCGCTAGGGTCACCCTACCCTGCAGCACGGCTGTTGGATGTTAGCCCACATCTCCAACTCAGATGGGTGGGCGTATCCAGGGCAATCGATTGTGTTGTCGCGCGGTAGGCCCAATGCTCGATGGGGATTGATCCCCGGGGCTTGTTGTCAGTGAGAGGTGGCGGCACTATGAGGCAGTGGTTCGTTGGCTCTCGGGAGGCCGGAGAGTGGGCCAAAGAGAGTTACATGGATTCACAGCATGCGCGCGCACTTATTGCATGCGCGATACCCAATCGCCGGTCCATCGCGGTTACACCATAAGAAGACATCACACGTGTGCATCCGGGCACCATGTCACCGTTCCCCGTTCACCCATGTCTGACCCGCTTCCCTCTAGACTTAAGTACTAGCCCCCATCCGTCCACAACCCTAAGTGCTAGAAGTCTATAGGGCAATAACTACACTAATTCTTAATGGATTTGGGCGTTTCAAAAGCCTAGGGGTATCAAAAGCTTCTAAATAAACTCGCTAAAGGGTATATTTGCATTCATTACTAATCACCACTCAAAGAAATGTCAATAATGCCTAACTTCAAGTAGCCACGTCACAATTTGGAATTCTTTAATTGTGTTGAAATGGCTCCGGCAAGATCCAGAACATGAGAAAAAGGGCTCCCCAAAGGGGCTCCCACTTTGGTATAAGCATCAGCCAACGTGCTACAACTCATTCTAAAATTTTTGAAATTCCAACAAATGGGGTATGTGACATTTTAACCCAGTTCCTGCTATCCTCTAGTTCGATATATTTCCTGAAGCACCGCTTGGGCAAGTTTAAGGATATTGAATGCCCACTTTTGCTCACCATTTGGCTGTATTGGCTTGGGTTTGAGCCAATTTGGTAGGGTGGGGCCCTTCCAATGTACCCACTCACTGACCCGCAGCCCGATTTGGCTTGAGCAGCAGCTGTTTCGGCGGCTGGTCTTTGCCGATCTACACGCGGCAGCCCCTATTCGGCCTATGGATGCAGCTCCCGTCCTTCTCATCCACGTTTATGGCAGGCCAGCAGACGGATGGTGCCTTGCAAAGCTCGCGTTTGCATGAGTTTCAACCAAATCGGTTGAATCTCCATGCTAAATGCCGCAACAACCCAATCGGTTATCAAGAGGGACCCTGGTTATCCCCTAGCACTCCTTTTGGCCTTTTGGCCTTGTTCTCTGAACAATACCACCGCCAATCGAAGGTTTCGGAGTGCGCGCAACGTCAGTCAGACGGCAGCAAGTAACACATTTGGTAGCGACAGTGTTGCAGAAATGAACAGCTGAGCCACTACCGCAAAATGAAACAATTCGGGCGTTGTCGCAAAAATGAACAACACTGTGGCAATAACGAGCGACACTGTCGCAAGAAACGAACATGTCACAAAAAAGAACAATTTCACTGTCGCAAAAGAAATAGTGACCTGAAGTTGATGCAGTCATTTAGCCATGCTTGGTAATGGCAACTTCAACGATGCCGCCCACTACTATGACCAAAATCAACCCCCACAGCAAATCCCCAATCACCCGCCCAGGATCCTCCCCGCCATGGCCACGCCTTGCCACACCGCCCTGGGCGCAGCCCCGCGGGCCCGCTTGGCGCCCAGGGCGACGCCTGGCCTAAGGTGCCGCCCACCAGACCTCCTCGCTAGCCCTCGCCTCCCGTTCCGATCTCCCTTGACCAAATCCGCGATCTCCGACTCCCAGTGACTGCGCTGACCGTCTGCGGTTTTCACCTCTTGCTGCCCAGGGCCGCCGGCCGGCGCCAGCCAGTGATCAGGGCCATGTTCTGGTGAGACTTCTGAGATCTTCTCTGCAAAAATTGTTGTTTGGCGAGGTGGGTGGGTAGGTGGGTGGGCAGGGTTTTTGGCATCATGGCCTGTTTGGCCCCGCGGAATGTCCGGGGAATATGCGGATCGGATGCGGGGGTTTTAGACGGTAGCGGCCGGGCGCGGCGCGTCGGCGGGCATGCGCGGATTGAATGGGGGCCGGTGGGGCCGCGACGTCCTCGGTGCGGCGAGCCGGGGACTGGGGGGCCCGGGCGGCCGGGGGGGGTGAAGATTTGTTGCAAAGAGAGACGGAAAATGGTCGTACAAAAGGCACCCCCGCTGAGCAAGTGTGCGCGAGACTCTTTGCCGCGCTGTGAGAAGATGATGTAGAGCCGACGATGCGAAATGATCAGCACGCAACGCAAGCGCGGGGGGGAGGCGCGGTGGCAAGCCGTTGTGGGCATTGCTGGGGGCAGTTTTGGGTGGTTTGAGCGCGGAGATTGCAGCGCGTAACTTGATGGCGATCGCGGCGTTGGCACAGCGTCTGTTATCACGGATTTCTGAACGTTTGGAGACGGAAAGTGCGCTGTTTTGGCGGTCGTAGTGTGGAGAACGGGGGCGCGCCAGCGCGGAAGCTGAACGTGGCGAGGAAATGAGAGTCTTCTTGCATGGTGTGCTGGTTTGGGCGGATTGCAGGGGCTTAGTGTTGGGCATGGGGAACGTCGCCACGCCTGTTTGGGTTGCAACTGGGATATGACAAAATATGAAAAATCGAACGCGACTTCCAACTAGTGGGGAGTTGCAATCTGCTACACAAATTCATGCGGATTCATTTCTTGCTGTTGTGGCTTTTTTCAAAAGTCGCAAGCTTTGTAGCAGCTAGTGTTCCTTTAAAATCGAGCCATGCACTTCTACTAGACAGCAACACTGCCAAACTACTGCGACTGCGTTGTAAGCAGAGCCTCGAGTGTTGTTGTCAAGACAAGTTCAGCAAAGGCTGTCTTAGCACTGACCACAACTGCCACACTTGGCTTCCAAGCATTTAGTGTAGAATTCCGTGACCATGGAATAAGCATGACAACCATTTAGTGCCTGAATAGAATGCTGGTATAAATCAGGACATGTGTTCATTAGGCAGCATATCGTTTCATGTCTGTTTTTAATGCATTACATTTTGCCATTGTCGTCCCAAGAAATTGTGACAATGTAATACACTGGATTACATTGCCACAATTTTGACAGTCAGAATTGCATTGAGAAATGATAACCTGCCCCAATCCATCTGAAGAGTGCATATGAGAAGAAGGTGCGGCCCATGGGCACCCCCTTTGCATGCAAGAAAACTGAGACTCTCTTCCCAACGAAACCCATTCAGAATGGCTGTCGAGGCATTTTGGGGAAAGCTGTGCAGGGCTCTGTACTGCGCAGTACTTGGTACCCCTTCGTTTCTAAAGGGATGCAATGCCGCAATGCGCCAAAGAACCTGTTGGATGCTCCCATCCAGGTTTTTGCCCGCAAGATGCAAAGTCTTGAGTTTGTCCTGTGTGGAGCATTATATCCTTTCCACGTTGAATCTCCAAACTCAGCATTGAGCTTGTGCCTTGACGGGCATTGGGTTTCTCATGTGACTGCAAATCATACCGATTCCTTTTTCAGGGGCAAGGATGAGGAGAAAGAAGCGGAGAAGGAGCGAATGTGGCAGGCACAGCAAGAGATCCTGAAGGAGAGGCGTGCCAGTAGGGCCATGCAAGAGGCCAACCAGAAGAAGCAGAAGGTACAACAGAGGTGGTGCAGCCCATATTCTCGTTTCTGTGGTGTTTTTCTTTTCTGCTGCTGTGTTCTGCTCCGAACACTTGGTGGCATTTGCAAAACGCTTGTTTTCCTGTGCTGTTCGCCTTTCCTGTTAGAATATACTTGTTTTGCTGTTTCTTCTGCCACAAGATTTTGTCACGCTTTTAAGATGGCTGCTTGTTTTGGTCGCGTTTTACAGGCTTCTACAACGCGATATGGTGCCATTGCAGCACGATTTAAACAGTCCCAAAGCTCGCAAAATGGGCAATATTGTGTCAGTGGAAATTGAGTTTTAGATTGTTGCAATTCGCCAGTACTGAAGTGCAATGAAGAATGGATATCTCGCTTTGTTCGCTGGGCACCACAGTACAGCAAAACGCAGTATCTTGCTGTGCAGTGGAGTATTGACAAGTGTGCCAAATCGCACGTTGCCTTGACAATTGCTCACTTCGAGTGCGGTGCTTAACAGAACTGCGAGCACAGCGTGCTGTACTGGTAGCTCTTTATACCAATATTATAGGTATGTTACCGATAGTATATGGTACCTATATTATAGTACCTATAGTATGTACCTATAGTATTATGGTATCTATAGTATGTTACCTATAGTATGGTACCTATATTATGACACTTATATTGTAACCTAAAGGGCGCTGAATGTGGGGCTGTGGACGCTCTGACCAGGTCGCTGCGAAGAAGCAGGCCCCCCGGAAGAAAGCACCGGCCAGACCGAAGCCCCCCCCAGAATATGTTCGAACAGAGGTGCGTCTGTGTATCACTGTACTGCATCGCACTGCAACGCGCTGTATTGTACGGCGCCGAACTGCATTGGGCGATCGACATTGGATTATCAATGAATTGGAAAAGTGAAAATGGAAGATTCACAATCAATATGACTAAGTCTTCGGTGCTTCTCAGACATACGTGGAAGAGGGCGCGGACGACGGCGAGGAGCTGGACCCCATGGAGTGGGTGAAGGGCATCTTCGGAGGGAAGAAAAAAGCTGGCTAGACGGGAGGCGGGATTACAAAAGGAATGCGGGCAGTGAGGTTTGAATGCAGGGCAATTACGTCGGGGAAGTGCTCCGACACAGGCGGCGCCTGATGCTTTGCCGCCCTGCTGCCTTCGACATGCGTGGCGGGGACTAGGACCAGTGTAAAAGAAGTCGGAGAAGGCCAGAAAGCTGTCCAGTTTTGAACTGCTTGTCGATTTTGAGTTGAATGCCGTTCTTCAGGGTTGAGACACAATAGGCGTTGGCGATAGGTGCTGCCAATGCGTGAGAAGATGCGACCAGTGTGTGGGAGATGCAGCGAATGCGTTATGCAAGTCTGGTGATTGTATGCGGAAGGTTTTGGCCTGGCGGCGTGTTGAGGGGCGGTGGGTGGTGGTTCGTGGCCTTGCACGTTTTAGACGCCACGGGTGTTGAAAATTTTGACGTTTGTAATTTCAATTTTGAAGCGCTGTGAATTTGGAGTTGGGGAAGTAGCAGGGTTGCACTGATAGGTCCATCATAAGGGCTGCCGTATGAGGGTCCCCAAGTGAGAGAAGTTCCGTACTCCGGGGGCCTCCTGGCATATTGAAGGCGATTCGCACAGGGTTGTTTGATTGATCTTATCGCGACAAACAGCGGTGGTCACAGCTTGGCACACTCTCCCCACGGCTGTGGCCACAGGGGGACTATATAGCACAGGGTACACATATGCAGTGCAGGGTACTAACCACAGGGTATCACCCAGGCACAGGAGGCACACCGCAAAGCATGGCTCACACGATATACGCTGAGTCAAATACGCAACGTTGCCTTGGACCCCAAGTCATGTTCTACCACACAGCGCCACCATCTCCACCTTGCATACACACCGTATGTGCCATGTGTGCCATATCTCCACGTACACATAGATAGCGACGCTTCCATTGGTTTGATCTGACCAATAGGGATGCATTCACCCACGCACCATCAACGAAAACAGCAACGTGCCGAAAGGTTCTGTTGAACCCCAAACTGCGACAGAGTCTGCACTTTGCTCGTTGAGCACCACCCCGAGCCCCCGCAATGATTGGAGTTTGCAATGGGATTGCCAACTGCCACTGGACAGCGCATGCAGACAACACAGGCCGCGACAGGCCAGCAGGCGATAGCAACACAGTTCGCAATGTGTTGCTGTACGTACAGCACTGCCCAAAGTACTGCGTTGCGATCACCATCAATAAGCGCGAATTATTCTGCAGCTGTGCTCGCAAATCATCCCCCCTTCCTGCACTTGCCAGTGTCTCCACTTGCTTTCCCAAAGTCAACACAGCGCCATGTTGGAAGATCAGACATTCCAAAATCTCTCTTTGTTTTTCTATGCTTTTTGACTTTTTTTACCTCGCGCTAATTTTTGGTACTACTACCAGTAGTAATGTCTCTTTCCAGGCCGCCTGTGTCACTGCCCCGCCACCGTCCCGCTACCCGCTTGAAGCGAAGCTGCAGCGAAGGCGCCACGCAATTCCACAGCTCGCCTCGCTCCGCGGCCGTCCCGAGGCGTCCGCGGGCCTGAAGGGGCCTCCTCCAAGGCCGCCGAATGGATGACGATGTTTCCATCGACGATGACGTAAGCCGACATCGCGTTGACGTGGTCACACTGGAGCGAATGGCTCAAAAACGGCGTTGTGTACACAGATTAACCTGTGCGTAATATAGTTTGTGTGGATATTTTGCATACATAGATATTTATTATAGATTTGTGTGATAATTTGTATAGATTAATATGTGTATATATAGTTTATTACGTTATAAACTGTGGACGCATGAATTTCGTCAAACAGAGACAGCAAAAGCGCGGCATGGGCGTAGTTCTGTCAGCGGCGCCAGGCCACAAGTCACAAGTCTGTAAGAGAGTGTAGGCATTAGCCTACAGAGCAATATGGCATCATGTCGGATGTATGTTACAGTAGCTCTACCGTAACTCATGTAATGCAGTACATGACAATGTTGTACCTATCGTAAGTGATTAACAACGTAATACGTTAAATTCGCATGCAGCAAGCAACACACATACAATATGTAATTTTGGAATGTTTTGGAGCGATCACCATTTCTTTTTCAGGTGGAGTTGGAAGCAGCTGCAGGGCCCCGCACAGAGCTCCAGGAGGATTCTTGCGGTGAGGTCAACAACAGAGAACCCATTTATTCATTTATTTTTTTCATTCATTATTCAATTCTCGTTTGTTGTCGGGGTGGAAAAAGCGGCAGGATCTGCAAACACGCTTTTCGGAAATTGGTGCAAATCAAGTTGCCGATTGATATTGCGGGAAATCTGCCAGGGTACTGAAAAATTAGTGGCAATTATTTCAACAATCACACGCTCTGAAAATTGGTTATTTGCTTTGGGAGCGACGGCCATGGACGTGCACATGGGCCAAGACGTGCAGATTCGCCATGCGCGGCGCGTGAATGATGACTCATTCTGGACAATGCAGTGCGGGCACGGTGACCCCACATATCCATATTACCACCCGGTTGCATACCCAGGTTTGGTACACCGTTTTTTCCAATGTACGAGATATACAAAATAAACAAGATGCAAAATAGAAACAAATTTTATTTTACATTTCAGTAAACAGTGATGCAATCAAGCACCTTTAAGAACTGTGTCTTGTGTCAGCTCTTCTAAAAAGTGGATAAATGTCACTGCGGTTTCCTGTTCCGCGCTTAAGTGGTTCCACGTTTCATTTATTGCTAATGATGAATTGGCTGCAGCTTCCGTGGAGGACCCCGTCGGATTGCGACATGGATACGGATTTGCTCTGTATCGAATCCGTATCCGATACGATAATATTTGCTCTGTATCCATATCTGTATACGTAGACGATTCGTGCATCCCCGAAGAAGCCTTCCTTCGCCGCTGTGAACGGCGAGTCGGGCCAGCGCGGCGGTTGAGCCTCCCCCTAGTACTATGCTCATTTGCACGCAACCCATGCTTCTTGCCACTCAATTTTACCTTTATTCCCTTTCGGCGACAAACTACAAATTCTATTCTATATTTCTGAGAGACTTTTCAAAAATATCAGCTTTCCAGAAAACAAAAGTTTTTTGAGAAGATGTGGTGCAAGGCTCAGTAATTTACAACAATTTGAGGCACCATTTTTTCTGAAAGGGTGTTCAAATTTTCAAAAAAATTTTGTTTTCCAGAAAATTTCCATTTTCATTCCAAATATTTTTGTTTATTTGCACCGCGGATTTCAATGCAGCCCCCGCGACGCAAAAATTCCCAATGTACGACACAGTGGAGGATGGAGCGGTGCCGCTGACGCTTCACGGCATGGCAGAGAGGGGGCTCGGCCACGAAATTATGCGGGCCATGGATAGGCAGCTGGACGGAAATGTTGACGCGAAGGTGACCAGAAAGACCTCCTTACACTAGGAAAAAAGGGCAAAATAACACGTGTTCAAACGTGTACAAAGTTTACGGGTTTGTGTTATTTTTGTGTTCTTAGCGTGCAGAACTTTGATGAAAGTGTTTTATGTGTGTTCGCAAAAGTGTTGTTTGGCCCTTTTTCTCCTAGTGTTAATGGACTGCGATTTCGCACAACACCTTGTTTAGGGCAAAAGCGATGTACGGCTCAGCAGTCTGTCGTACTGGATTTTGACAATTTTCTCGAAAGGGTGTCCTATTTTGTCATCAATTTGTCAACTTTTGGCCTGTCGTTGATTTTGAAAATCGATGACATGCACATGTTGTTGTTGTCCCCCCAAACACTGCTGAGGCTGCACTGTTTCATCCCAATGAAATTTTGTAATGAGTTAGGCAATAGATGAAATTGTGGCACAGGACAGTCTACTTATGTAGCGCATTAGGATTCAAGGATTAAACTGCTGTTGAGAAAAGAAAAGGCAACTTGCATGCCAAATGCGTAATTCCCAGATATTTCCATGGGTTGTTTCAGATTTCAAATAAAGGTCAAGTGCCCTAAATATGGCCCCCACCGCGGCCATGAACAATGCGAAATCAGCTGTTTGCATTGCTATAGGAAGACGCTATGTCGACATTTGTACGCTTAGCGTCAATTTGACGTTCAAGTTCAGACCCACGCCACCCCGCCCCACTCCCCACCCCCCTCCTTAGCGTCAGTCTTTATGTAGAAGCCAGGGTGGCTAAGCAACATCACCTAACAGTGGCATTCAATTTCCTGGTGCTTTTAAGGAGCAAAACAGTCAAAGTTGTGCTGATTTCAGTGGGCTGAAAAATTGAATTCTAAATACCATTGTAGATGTGGCTGGCATTCTAAGGAACTTTTTGCAGATCAACCACTTGCAGGAGCCTTGGGAACATGTCGCTGTTTTTTTGCCACTTAGAAGTGGCGTTCTGGGGCACTTTCCCTCCTCATGTCGGGTTTTCTGACAATTACATAATCTCTTAGCGTCACATGTCCCCCCCCCCTCCCCCTCTAGAGTCAATTTGACGCTTAGCGTACCAAAATCGACATAGTGTCTTCCCCAACGTACTTGAAAAAATGCTGCTTGGGAGAATTGGAATTCTACAGAATTGTTGGCGGATTTCTCTGTGTAATGGATTGAACCAGTGGTTTGAGATAATGAATTGACACAGATCGAAAGCAATAGCAACGTTTTCGGCTAAACAGTGGTTAGTTCTGCCAGAACGTTGAAAACACAAGCAGCTGTGCATTACCTAATATTAAAAATACCACTTAATATGCTGTGGCGCAAAACAAGCGCCAGAAAACATGGTGCCTTTGCTCAACTCTTCAGGGACAGTAATGCAATGGATTGAACACCCATGTTGGACAGCTGTTTTTGAATTAACTGATCAGATAGACTTTATACCAGGCAACTTCGTAATTGCACAGCGTAATGAAACTTTGCGCCATTCGGCGCATTACATCGATGCATCACCGCGGTACCTTGTTGCATTAAGTAACACTTCACTCAGCGACGACTACAGTAATTAAAGTACAGTCTGTGCTTTTACCCCGCAGGATCGGTTTGGACGCACGCCGCTGCATTGGGC